GCGATTCCCTCAGATCGCGGATTTGATAATTCCCACTGCGTGATTGTCACTCTCGTGAACGAGCACCGATTTGCCTCCGATTTCGGGCATTTGTCGGCGATTTCGTAAAACCTGTCAGCGAGTGAAAAATCGGGCTAAAATCGTGCAGTGTGAACTCGGCATAAGGTCTTCAGGATCACTTGAAAATTAAAGGCAAGTGTGTTTGCTTAAAGGCGGGCGTACACGGTGCGATTCTGAAGGTCGGAACGTCGTGAGCTCTGGCACATGTCACGATTGAGTTTATCGATTTTCTCCCAAGAGAAAAAAATCGCCTGCGAGCTCGTACGACAGCAAAAATCGCACCGTGTACGCCCGCCTTAAGCCTGGCTCACACTACATGATTTTTAGCCCAATTTAGCCCCGATTTCCCCCTCCCGAGAATCGGAGCAAAAATCTTGTCGAGCCCCTCGATCGGTCCCGATGTTCGGCGCGGATTATCTGGTAATGTGAGGCTTTCACCGATCGAATCTTGCACCTACCGATCTGCTCGCACACAAATCGGGGCCGCCACGATCATATCAAACATGTTTGATATTTAGGATTTAAATCGGGATGATGACGGCTATATGATTACGTCAGTACTTTCACAATAGCCAATGCGCGACCGCAAAACAGCTGCTGTATGCCCCCATTGGATAGTGGAGACGGAGGAAACTGCTTCTTGATGTTTTATAGTAACACGACTGTCTGTATAATGTGTCGAAAACGTATCATAACTGTAAGGAGAAAGAGAAGCACTGGAGTGAAATCGCCTCAGTTTTGAATGTACCGGGTGAGTGTAGAAAGCAGCTAGCACACTAGCTAACATATGTAAACATCACTGAAATATCAACGACAATCTGCTGCGTGAGATTACATGAGGCGCTCCCTCTGGCATGATAATCTTAATAATATCTTGTAGTGTGTGATGCGCCACGATGTTAAAATCTTGTAGTGTGTGCATGTTTAAGATTTGAGCCCGGCTTTAGAGTTGGAGCTTAACTTTGCAGGACAGTCGATCGCCAGGAGCAGGATTGAGCACCCCTGCTGTATACAGTGTGCAAATTTTACTGTGACTTTTAGTCAAATTAATTATTATAGGAAAATTTAGGGGAGGGGCATTCTGATCTCTTATCACGCAAATCAAATTGTTATTTGGTCACACTGGCACAGTTAGCCAAAAGTCAACTATGTTAAAGACATTTTAAACAAAACACTAACTTTACTTAAAATATTTGTTTATTAGGAAGGGATAAATAAAATTTACTGTATATCATGGAATGTCATAGAATTTGTCAAAATTTGGATAAAGCAGGCCTGTACACTTAATCAAATCATGATGCATGCTTTTAGATTATTAAAATGTAATTAAAACAGAACTCAGAAAAAAATCTGTTATTTGGTGGACCTAATAGAGTTAGCCAAAAGTCAACTATGCGAAAGACTTTTTAAACAAAAGACTAGCTTTTCTTGAAATGTCTATAATAAAGTGATAAACAATGATTTGAGAAGTGCTTGAAAAGTACTATTGCATGTAAAATGCTTTTTGTTTTTTTTTTGCAAAGTTACTAATGGTCAAATTTCTATAGGAACTATTCTTGCGCAAATGTTACATTATTTACACTTAAATTTTTTTTCTGAGCAAAAAAAAATTACTATCATACATTTTTACCATGATTTACAGAAAACGTCATTCAGTGTAACAATATTTTGTATATCAAAAAAATCTTGTCAGGCATATTTAGAAAAAGAATCATTAGATGACATTTAAAGACTATTTATGAATCACAGTGCAGTCCCAAAATACTAATTCGTTATAATTTTAAATCTTTACCACTATCCTTCAAACCACTAAGTTTTATCAAAGACTTTAGATCAGCAATAAGTTTTTTTTTATCACTTAAAATGAAATACAATTTCGTATGATCACTTTTACTTGTATATATTGTACCAAGTACAGATCAGAATAAGTACGTTGTTTCATTTTCGAGAGAGAGAGTTATGTAAATAGAGAGATATGTAAACGCTGACTTTTCTTAAAATGCATATAATGTGATAAATAATGATTCGGTAAATGTACCGTTGTTACGATTACCTCCTCAAGCAAACGCAGCGAGTGTATGTTTACCGCCTGGTACTTGCATGTCAAATTAACAAGGATTTTAAGATCTCAACCTCTTCCTTCCTATGGGGCTACTAAAGGTGCCAGGCCCCCCAAACGCCCCGACACATATAATCTCGGCATCTCTATAAATTCTGAGGAATCTACAATGAATAAAACTTTATAATGAACTTCTGGTTAAATACAAAACGATTTCCACGTAAGATCGTTCAGATTGATAGAGCGGTGATTCTGTGAATCCCCCCCCCCCCCCCGGCGGCTCGAGGACTGCCGCACCTGACGCACGCAGCACCTGTGCGTGACAGCTGTGCGACGTCAGTAGAGCAAGTGAGTCAGGATCTTCCACACTCGGCGTATGATAGCCAAAAAAAAAAAACACATAACCAAACCCTCACACTCATTTGGTTGCTACGCCCAAACGTACACGAGCAGTGAAACACATCTAAAAGCTCATTCTTATCACAAAAAGCAGTTAATAGCAACTCACCAAGAACGTTTGCTAAGCAATGAACGTGTGCTGACGGTGGACGTAACAAAGTTAGACCGAGTCAATACATCATAGTTCGGAATCGAAAAGGATCCGAAATCGGTCTGAAAACGTCGAGAACGACGTAAGTTACCTGTAGTTCCGATTTCCATTCATGAGGTCTCTGTCCGGATTCTAGCCGGCTCCTGGGGATCAGATACCGGCTGAAAGGTGTTTGTTTAAAGCCGCTGAATGTCCTCCGTAAACCGAACTACACCCCGGCTCCTACCGCGGCTGTCGAAGCGGGCCGCTCCGAGGTTCTGCTACGGTCGGAGGTCCACCCAGACAGTACCGAGTCAGTCAACCAAAAGGCACGAACTCCACCGTGTCTCCTACCGTATGTCGATGATCTGTAATTGCTACCAGCTGACAAGCCAAAAGACCCCGAAGGAAATATTTTTAACAGCCGTCGCGAAACAGAGTTTGTCAGGAGCCTTGGACCATTCGCGGTGTCTTCTAAATGACAATCTCTTCTAATTTAAAGACATCCACTCAGATATGAAGTTTATAGATGAATATCCGCTGCCGAGTCGAAAATGTGGGTTTTATTCCAGTCGCTTTAGTCCGAGTTTGCCAGCGGCCGTTGACGTCTCATCGACTCTGTCGGTGTGCTACCGGTTTGCCTTGGGTTTACCGGCTCTGTACAGTCACGGTGTGTTGCCAGATCTATACTAAACAAGCAAGTTGGTCTGATAAAACTAACTCGGAACACGCGGCTTGCGTATTCAAAATCAGTCTTAAAATAGCCAAAATTTTAGCCTACAGTTTCTTTATTTTTTTGAGTCACTGCAAAACTGAAATAACCCCAAACCTGAAATCGGCTTTGTTTATAAGCAAAAACCCACAAAAAACTTAAAATACACGGACATGGCAACACTGAATCAGGGAGGCCCACAGGAAATACCAAACGCAGGAAACACCGTCACTTCCTAGCAAAATGTAATTTATTTGATCCACCTTTGATTGTTAATTAATGAGTAGTGTAAGAACAAAAATGACAAATGAACCCTCTATAAAAATGTTTTTATTGTGAATAAAACATTTTCTATTACTATTATTTTTTTTAAATAATTGATTTCATGGCAGTAAGTGAAAATATTCCTCCCATTGTTTAACAAGAACAGTTTAAATTGAGAGATTTATCTTCATTGTTAGACACTTATTTTCATATAGTGCTATTTATTTAATATGAAATTATAATTAACATAATTTTTTCCCCATGACTTGTTGGACAATTTCAAGACAAACTTTGACAACAAGACTAACTTTGCTGTCATTTGTTCAAAACTGCTGAAAATTATACAATTTTAAGTTGAGTGATATTTGTATCTCCCCTATTGCAATACTCAACTGTTTTTTTTTTAATATATTTTGAGATAAAAACAAATCTGTGGTTCTTTTATGTGTGTCACACCATAGGACATTACGTCACACTAAAGGACAGAAATGGTAGTTATTAAATTATTTCTATTTAATTTTGAACATGTCAAAGGTGAAAGAAAGTTTAATTTTGATACAAACAATATCAACATGTATTTTAAACAAACAAAAAAATATTTTCATTAACAAAATCCAGTCTCTTAGTCAATCAGTATGTTACTGAAACTCTTCTAGCACCCTGCTAAATGTGTGGCACAGCTAAATATGATTGATATTCAAACTATATTCATTAAGATGTGAATGGAGTTTTTAAAAACTATATGGCTACTCTTTTTAAGGCATCATTTTTTATTGTATTTACTTTCTGCATTGTTCTCTTACGATCTCCTCCCTTCTGTGTGGATCCCTGTTAATTTTCTGTCTATTTCCGTGTCCTCTCTCTTCCACTAATTTCTCTCCCTCAATTCTTTCTGTCTCAAAACATAGTATCACATGTTACTTATTTTCATGACACTTTATAACAGTACAAGTTTTCTGTAAAAACATCAGAAAATAGTTTAATTAATGTAAGTATTGCATTTAAGAAGACTGAAAATGATCAAAAAAGAATAAAAAGGAGTTAAATAAATCGTATTTAATTATTTAAAATGCTTCTTAAACAGACCTTGTCCTGTGGTGTGACATCTTTGTCACACCAAACAGACATTTTCTGTCACTCCAAAGGATGTTTCAGCCTTTTCCTGTCAATTAATGACCTTGCTATTCTGAGCTAACCTGTCATTAGCGGTTTGCAAAACACATCTGCATCATTTTCCATGATTATGTAGTTTAACATACCTTTTTTAGTAAAAAAATATAATTTAGGGGTGTCACACCAAAGGACAACAAAACGTTCCAAAAAAGTGAAATATTTGAACAATTCTGAGAGAAAAATTGACCATGTGCACATGTCATACTCTTAAGGAGAGGGCATTTGATCTCCAGCAGTTCCTCTGAGTTCAAAACTCCATCTGGGCTTCCTGACAGCCAGGGCTCGCTTGCACACACGACAGTGCCTCTGTGGTTGACTGTAAACCCACAACCCTCTAGCCACTGTAAAGCAGATGCCTCACTTTCTAAGCCATGGTGAGTTGCTGCATTCCCATCACATGTCATAGGCTTCACAGGGGGCTTCAGTAACATGATCATGAATGGGGTCCTTCAGCTAATTAAAGTTTTCTCTGGAATTGGCCGATTTAAAATCAGGATATGGTGATTTGATATTACATATACAAAATGTATTAAGTTCCTACACTTTCAGAAATATATAGATGAAAAAAATTATTGCCATTTACTAAAATAGACACTTGTACAATTATACCGGGTGTATTTATTAACATTTGTATGCTTTTCTTTTTAGTTTATAAAAGTTGTAATTTACGGAACCATGCTTGGGACAGTCACACCATAGGACAATTTTGACATTTGGCTCAAAAATGTAAAAAATCTAATAACACTGCAGCTTTTTTAACAACAGTTCCATGTAGGACGAAGAAATGTTTAACGATTTACAGCATTTTAAATAACGACAATATTAATTATATTCATTTTTATCCTGTGGGACAGTGAAAATGCCATGGCACTCAAGACATTTGTGCAGAAGGCTTGACACAGTCAGTCGAAGATGCTTGAGACCCTCTCAGCTCATCCTGGGTGCAAAATGAAGGAGCCACTGCTCATCTGTGCAAGCAATGCCAGTGAGCCCACTGAACACAGCATTTTCAACCTGAGACCAAACATATTTACTGATGAGTTTGTATTAGCGCTGGGCAACAATTAATTTTGATTAATCTCATCCAAAATAAAAGTTTTTGTTTATATAGGTGTGTGTACTGTATATATTTATTATGTATATATATAAAGACACACACATACAGTATATATTTGGAAAATATTTCCATGTATATATTTATATTCTTATATTTTATATTATATATAAATATATTTAATATAGAAACAACATATTGTTCTAAAATATATACATGCATGTGTGTGTATTATATATCCATAATAAACATACACCGTACACACACATATATTATGTAAACAAAAACTTGCATTTTGAATGCAATTAATCGTTGGCCTGCACTAGTTTGTATACTTAAAAGAAATTTCAAAACTTTCACAGTTGTCTTATTTCAAAATCATTCATTATTATTACACTTGATGTTTACCTACCTTATTCCTTGTATCAGGTGATAGCATGATTAGACTTAATGTTACACTTAATGTACACCTACCAAATCTTACCTTTACCTTACCTTTTGCATATACACTGTGTGCAGAATTACTAGGCAAGTTAATTTTCTGTTCATATTTTTTTTCCCCAAGTATATTTTACCAATTCCAAACCACATCAGTCTTAATAACTATTATTTTTGTATTTAATATTGTAAGAAAAAGTGAAGACATC